ATGTTTTTTATGCTATCATAAGTGATGTCATTTTACATTTTCATTTTTAAGTAACTATTCATAATTTGTAAAACATCCCTGATTCTTGGGAGACCCAGTCAGCCACAACACACAAAGCGATGTTGGATTCTTCTCCCTCCTTTTCTCCCTCTTTCCAAACCAATGCACCACCCAGTGAGGTTCTTCAGATCACCAAGGATAAGAAGGAGGCCTCCTATGAGGGTGAGGGTTGAAAGTTACCTACGGGCACCATGTACACTACTCGGGTGATGGGTACACTAAGAGCCCAGACTCCACCACTATACGATATATACATGTAATGGAATTCAACTCATACCCCCTAAATCTATTAAAAATTTTTTAAAAGGAAAAAAAAATGATAGCTCTAAAAAAAATTAAAAAGAAAATAAAATACACGAAGTAAATCAATCAGTGTGATTCCTACACTGTAATATTTAAGGCCTAGCAAAGTAACCAATTAAACTAATCAAGGCTAGCCTTTGGTGTGTTTGATAAACATAATCCCCAAGTATTCCACTGGGTCAAGCACTGTCATTTCCAAACACCTGTGAAAGAGAACAAATCGGTAATACCTTGGAGTGGACTAGCTTTTGCTCAGCTTTTTCTGCATGAGAAAGATACCCTGACACAGAGCACCTAGACTGCACAGCTACAGGTGAGCTATGCCACCCACCAGCATTAGGACCAGAGAAGAGTGCGACAAACTCCAGAGAGACACAATGCCCAGTTTTGCTCAGGTAGGGGCCGACCCTGGCTCCCTCCGTCACTGGGAAATCCTTGCTAACATGGGGCTCAGGGCAAACACCACACTGTTCCAGCATTGTTTCTGGAGGGGCAAATTCTCTTCGCCAACCCCCTCGGCAGGTGAGAGAAGGGGTCAGCAATCTCAGGGCAGCGGGCATCCCTGGCTGTAAAAGCCCCGCTCCCTGGGTTAGCCTTTAGGGCAGGGGGTGTCAGTGGGTCTCCTGCCTCCCTTTGATCTTCCCTGCGTCCTGGCCCAATCATCCTCAAAGTGTCCGGTTCAGCGAAATACCCGGGAGGCTCCCACCCAAGTCGCGGCAAGTATCAGACACACTCTACCGCCCTGACAGAAGCAGTCCGCCTGCCCCTGCATCTGGTTTCAACTCATCAAAAATTCATCTGGCGCTTACTGTGTGCCAGGCGCAGAGCGGCGACCTGCGGATTCAAAAGCGCCCCAGATGCCGTCCCTGCTTCCAAAGGGCCGGCTGGGGCGGGACGGGGGAGGAAGCGGAAGCCAGGGGGGACACCACCGCTCGCCCGGGCTCCCCCAAAGGCCTCTCTCCACAGCGCCGCGCCGCGCTGCCCCTCCCCCGCCCGGTGCCCTCCCCCGCCCGGTGCCCCCCCCTCCCCCGCCGCACTCACTGCGTCCTCCTGCGGCCCTGGTCGCGGTGCAGCTCCCGCAGGTCCACCTCGGCGCGGCCCAGGAACTTGTCGAGGCCGAGCAGCGCGCGGTGCAGCACGGTGAGCTGCAGGGTGGCGGCGCCGGCCGGCACCGGCCCGGAGGACAGCAACGGCGGCAGCTCGAAGGTGGCCTCCTCCCGCCACACCGGCGCGCCCAGGCTGCGCTCCGACACGGACGTGGCGTACTTCTCCTTGCCCACCTGGATCACCGCGTACGCGTCGCTCGTGCCCCCGGGGCCCTTGGCCCGCAGGCCCCGCGCCTGCAGCACCGTCACCTGCACGTGGGTTGGGGACCACACGGCCCCCGGGCCCCGGCCAGCCGAGGCCGTTAGGGACATGGTGGCGGCACCGCGGGCGCGAGCAGAGTATCGCCGCACTCCGCGGCCTCTGTGGCCCGCCCCCCCAGTCCGGGCCCTTTAAGACTTCCGGCCACGCCCCCTCCGGGTCCCGCCCCGGGCACGCCCCGCCCCACCTGTGGCTCCGGCCCCGCCCCAGCCGCGCGGCCGCGCAGGGCTCCGGGGCGCGGAGGGCGGGGCCGGGGTTGAGGGTTACTGGGACTGCGCGGGGGCGTCGGGGATTCCGCTCCGCGCAGGGCCAGGCGGGGACCGGGGACCTGGGCGGACGCGGAGCTGCCCGGGGCCCCCACCTGCAGCCAGACGCCGTTGCCGGTGTCGCCGCTGCACTGCGAGCGGGCGGCCTGCGGGCTGCTCTGCCCGCGCGAGCCTGCACCTGTGCGGTGCGACGGCACTCGCAGAACCCTGCGAAAGGGGACGATGGCGGTGCATGCCAGGGCTTGGCAGGCGCCTGGCACAGGCGACTGTCAGTGAACGGCCACTGTGAGGGTGGCCCTGAAGGCGTCCGCAGCCCACCCCTCCGCGGCCTGGGGCGCTGCCGGGGGCAGGGAGCCGGATCCGTGGGCGTGCCGAAAGGGGGAAGGCGCCGTGGGGCGGGGTGCCCTGCTTTGCCCGGCCCTCGCCAAATAAGGAGAGGCTGGGGGAGGACGGGGGTGGGGGGGGAGAAAGGGGAACTGGGGACGGATTGCCCAAATGTCAGGACCGGTGGCGCCCCCGCCCCCTCACCCCGCGCTTCCCCGTCCGGCCCTTCCTGCGCGCCCTGGGCTCCCGCTCGGTTCCCTCCTGTCCCTCCTGTCCGCCAGGCTGGCCGCTTCCCTGCGGGTCTCGGGTCCTGCTTCAAACGCTCGCCCGCTCGGTCGCCGGCGTCAGAGCGAAAAGGCCACTTGGAAGGTTTCGAAGTTTTACAGTGAGGGGCAGGCCCAGCACAGAGAAGGGACCTGTTCAGGGTCCCACTGCGACACTGGGACTCGGATACCAGCGTCCGACTCCCAACCTGGCGCGTGCTGCCCCGCACCCGCACACCCCCAGTCTGGACTGCTGCGGCTCTCCCGCCTGGTCCCGGCCTCTCCTCCCTGCACCCCGCTTCCCTGGCCCGCTGGCAACCCTGCGGTGCTGCCTCCCTGTCCCTGCGGTAGCTTCGGACTAGACGGGGATTTCAAGACATTCCATTTTGGACCCACCCAAACGCTGGCTCCTCTATCTTCTGCACAAGCTCGTAGCCCAGAGCTCTCCCTACCTCCAGGCCTTTACTCACCTTGTGCCCTTGGCTGTCCCTGCCAGCCCACTGCAAGGCTTCGCTCGCATTTCTCCAAGGTGTGACTCCTTGTGACTCCCCAGAGGGCAGGGGGCCAGGTAGTGACTTATTCACCTCGTCTCCCTCACAGTCTACCTCACAACCCTGGTCTGCAGTAGGCACTCACTCGGGCAGTGCTATTGAATTGGAGAGTTTGCAAGTTATTCCAGCCAACCATGAGGAGTAGGAAGCGTTTCCTTTTACCATGTAGGAAATTAGAAGACAGACATATGCAACTGAGGTTTCCAATAAAGTTTTATTGAGAACTTGTTTTGCAGCAGGCATGTGCTAGCTGCTACTGAGAGCACAAAGCTGAGTGAGACTCCTTCCCAAGGCATACCATGATCGTCTAAAGGAAGTCCCAATGGGTAAAATGCATTGGGTGTTTTGAGGAGAGAGTGATTTCTCTAAGCAGGTGGATTTTTAGGAAGGCAGTGGCATTGAGCTGGGCCCTGAAGATATACCAGGGTTGATGGGCAGAGGAGGGAACGTTGGGATGAGCAGTTCAGGAGGAGAGAACAGGAGACCAGCCTGAGCAAACCTATGGGGGCCAGAGGGTCATGGCATGGTTAAGGGTTGCAAAGCTGGAATGTAGGATATTTTAGGAGGGTGGGGGAGGGGTGGAAATAAGACAGCCAGGGTGGGCTCAGATCCTGCAAGTCATGAACACCCGGCTAAGGAGCATACGCCACAGTGTTGGACCCGGTGAGCCAGCCTCCAGAGGCTTTTGAGCAGGGACATGATCAGGCTGTGCTCAGGTTGCAAGGCAGGTGTGAGCAGAAGGAGCCCAACAGCCAACAGCAAAAGCAGGTCACAGCCAGATACGTGGGGACTGTCTCCCTCCCATCCCACTCTGCCCACCACCTCTTCCCCATCCCCGTGTCCTGTTGAAGTTGGTATCCAATTCAATAAAGAGTATACTTCCCTCTTGGTTGTCCCACCTTTCCAATGTGCCACTACATCCCCCCAAACAAAGTCAGAGATCTCGGGTCAGAAATGACCCAGGGTGTAAGTTCTTCAGCTCTGGTCTTCCCTCCTCCCCAACACTGAGGTTTTTAGTGCCGTTCCCTCAATAGAGAGCAAGGAACGAAACCCTGCTAGACAGCCTCCCAGGCTGAGTATGAAACAAAGCATCTCTTCCACTCATGGAAAGAATTAGAGGACAAAGGGGAGGGGGTGGTGCGGAGCACCTGTGACCTCATGTGTTTGAGTTTCTGCCAGATACAAATAGACTGTGGCCAAGGCCGAGGGGGCAGGTTGGAGGAAGGCAAGGCTGCTGCACTGCCCGGGAGAGATCGAGATCCCCCCGCGTCTGACGCTGGACGTTGACAGGGGTTAACTCAGGGGCTCACTCAAGGCAGGAATTGGAAATTGGTCAGGGAAGCACGCAGCCAGGGGCTCCAGCACAGGTGTCCTCCGCACGCCCCAGCTGTTGTTTTTCTCCTCTCTAGCAGGACGGGGCACATTGTCCCTAAGACTCACAGACTCACCCGGGAGTAATCATCCGTCTGCTCCCAATTTGACAGACTCATGGTATGGTCCAGGTGGGGGGATGCACAGGAACAATGACAAGGCAGGCACCCTGGCTGCCCACCTGTCCTGGAAGGACTCTACCCACCCCCCACCCCCCATCCCCTCCCGAAGGCCAGAAAACCCTCCCGGCTCACTGAGTTCCCCGTAAATACCTCCCCCAGCCAGGGTGCGGTGAGGCGGCTGCTCTTACCTCCCACCCTGCCCCGCCTCTAGCTCGGACTGAAAGAGGAAGAGTTTCATTCTGCCCTGAGCACGTGGACAAGGTGCCTGGCAGGTTAGACTGGACAGGTGACACACCTGTCCTCCAAAAGCAGCAGAGCAGAGCGCCAGGACTCCCCGCCGCAGTCACGTGGGGGCAGCCGAGCGGGGCAGTGAGACTGATGGGAAACGCAGAGTTGTGTTCAGCCCCGTGGGAAGAATTTCTCTCAATAAGAGAGTCTGTGGGGCCGCGCAGGGGGGAGGAGAGAAAAGGGATACCAGGGAGAGGTTTGCGCCGCTGCCCTGCTAACTGCCAGTCGCTGTCCTCTCCCCACTCCCCGCAGGGGACACTAACTCAGAGCTTGTCTCTGGGGACTCCAGATGGGCTGCAGTGCTGCCCCGGTCCTGCACCAGGAGCAGAAAGAGGCTGGTGAAGGCTGCTTGTCTTTCTCTTGTGCCTCGGACTCTGGGGTGTGGTGACAAACGTCCACACACAGTGATTCATTCTCCCGGCTCTTGGTAAACAGCTATCCGGCTTCTCCATGTCCAGCTGCCACAGTCTCCTGCCCGCTTGGTTGACCGTGACGCCTCCCAGGTGTGGGCTGGAAGAGCGAGGGCTTCCTGCCTTGTGGGGTCAGAGGGGGAGGGGGCAGCTCAGTGACATCGGACTCCCTCCCTTGCCCCAGTGGCTGTGGCAATGTGGAGCTCAAAACTATGGTGCAACTGAAAAGAAGGTGATCTCAACAGGCAAGTGGCTAGCTATTTCTTCTAGAGCCTAGTCTCGACAGAATGGCTTTGTGTGACAAAGCTTGCATCAGAGATAGCACAAAGGTATCATCTTTCCAATTTGTCAGGTCCCCTCAAAGAAGACCTTGGATCCCACACCTATAGGGCCATAAAAAATGGGTAGCCCTCACCTTCCTGCCGTCTACACAAGCCTGATGCCTCCCTCATTCAGATTGCTCTTGTTCCCTAGCTTATGCCTTATACTGGATTCGGCACCTGCTTTTCTCACTGGCACTCATCTCTGAGGCAGGAAATGGGTCCCTCCCCTTTGTATTACCATTTCTAGCGTCCTCCCCAACCCTGATTCCTTGCCAGGAGAAGGCAGTACAAGTTAAGTAGAAGAGACATAAATGACTTTTAAGCCTTGAGCCTTCATCCATTCGATCCCTGCTGCTGCCACCTCTCGCACTACCCTGTATATAACCATTTTGTTTGGTTTGGGTTGAGAGTCAAGGTCTCACTGTGTTGTCCAGGCTGGAGTGCAGTGGCTATTCACAGGCGTGATCATAGCTCACGGCATCCTCGAACTCCGGAGCTCAAGCAATTCTCCTGCCTCAGCCTCCCACGTAGCTGAGACCCTAGCCGTCCTTTTAAAATAGAAGGTTTATTTTTTTTTTTATGATGATAAAAAACAATATGTGACCATTGCAGATGCAAGCCCTGTTTCACCTTTCCAGAACCAGTTTTGTGGCATGGGGTGGGGAGTTGGGGGGAAAGGCAGAAGTTTTGAGTGTTTATTCCTCCTTGAGTTGTCCCGTTAAGAAGCTGCTTCTCAGGGTCTTGTAGTTTCCTGGCCTCTCTCCCGTATCAACCTGCTGGGTCCCCTGGACACAGTCCTCTCTGCAGCAGAGCTGGCCAAGAGGTAGGTAAGAGCAGCCCTGCCTCCCCTTTTCTGATGCCATGGGCAGAGTGACTTTTAATGTTTTTTTTTTTTTTGGTAGAGAAAGGGTCTCACTATTGCCCGGGCTGGTCTCGAACTCCAGGACTCAGGAGACCCTCCTCCTTGGCCTCCCGAAGTGCCAGGATTACAGGCATGAGCCACTGCGCCCAGCCAACTTTTGACACTATGGAATCACAGTGTAGGCCTGGAAGCTTAAAGCGGGGTCCCATGTATGAGACTTTACAAAGACCGAAAGGGGCACCAGAATGAGGCACTTCGCCCAGGGGCTCCCCTCTCGGGTACCCCACCTCCTCCGTGCTCCCGTAGTTCCCCCTGTGAATCTCCCT